GGGCTTGGAGGAGGCTGGCTCGCTTTAATGGCCGCACAGCAAGAGCTGCCATAAAGATTACTCTAATTAACGAGGACGGGGTGGGGGGCTGTGAGCAGCGGCAGGGCTAGGTCGGGGAGGGGGGCTGGACTCCCCTGCCCCACAGCCGCAGCCCCACAGTGTCCCAACCCATTGGGTGGCTGTGAGCATCCCACCACCTCCCCAAGCCCCTCACCCAGCTCAGATTGACCCAATGTGCGAACCCAACCTGGGGGACGAGCCCCCTTCCCCCCAGTCCCCCTTCAGGAAATAATCCCGCAGCATCCTGTTTCCCTCCCTGGGAAACCTGAGTGTTCTGGGCAGGAATTTGCCCCAAAAACTCTACCATCTTCCACAAAGAGCTTTTGCCTGGACACAGAAAACCTCTTTTCTGCCCTAAAAGGCAAAGTGTGCCCATCCAGCTGTTTTTTTCAAAATTCTTTGTAGCTGTGGCTGGGTTTTTTTTTGGGGGGGAAGGGGGGAAGTCGCTGCTGTGCATGGGGCAGCCATGGCAGGACACTGGTGCTCTTGGTGCTGGTACCAGGGATGGGATGGTGCAGGGAAGCAGGAAGCAGGAGCCTTGTCTCAGTGCTGGCCTCCTCGGTGCTGGCCCCAAGGGATCTGTGGGGCAGGGTCAGACTTGGCCCCATGTGTGGCATGTGGTGTGGCATGGCGGCAGGGGACGCGGGAGGAGGGTACCAACCCTTGACAGTGCTCTGTGGTTGAGGGATGGAGCATCCCATGGCCCCCAGTGGTCCCCGGGGTCCTGCATGGCAGCTGGTGGGCAGCACACACACGGACGTGGTGAGTGTCACCATGGGCATTGCAAAGCCACCAGCCCCAGCTTGGAAATGCAGCAGCTCTGGGGCGTGTGTGGCTCCGGGACGCCTCAGCACCAAAATGCAAGGATTTGAGAGATTTTAAAGACTTCAGAAGTTGGTTGAGCTAGAGGAGCAGAGTTTAGGAGGGAGGAAGAGGATGGTGGCAGCTGGCTGCTGAGGAGCTGGTGGTGGTGGTGGCACTGGATGGTCGCTTTGCCGGCACAGACCCACGGCTGTGGCAGAGGCTTGGGGTGAGGCTGCAGTTTCGGAAGCTGCGGCCAGAGGTTCCTGGGGTTCCCGGAGCAAAACCTCCCCACCCCGAATCATCCTTGGTGGTGGCGAGGAGGAAGCTGCAGAGGGGGGTGGCAAAGGGCGTCTCCGTCCCCCCTTCCTGTTTTGCTGCGTTCTGCTTTGCACACCCAGGGAGGACGTGGCTGCCGCCTGCTCCTGTGACTCGGGACCTGGGGACGGTGGCTGCTGCCATGAACCCTTGCCCTGCCATGGAGAGGGAGGTTCTGGCTCAACACACTGAATTCAGTTCTGGTTTGGCCAAAAATAAACCCTTTCAGGCTGCTTTTATCTTCATATAATCATAGAATCATCTAGGTTGGAAGTGACCTTCAAGATCATCTAGTCCAACCTTCAACCTAACTCGGACAAAAAAACCCATCACTAAACCATGTCCCCCAGCACCATGTTAGCCTGTCTTTTGAACACCTCCAGGGATGGTGCCTTCAGTGAGAACCAAACCAGGAGTGAAACCCCCATTAGCCCTCCCACCTTTCTCAGCAGCTGTGGCCAGCAGAGGGGTGGGGTGGGGAAACTGAGGCAGGCATCCTGCTGGGCTGCTGGTGGCAGAGCCCAAGCTCCTGGTTCTGAGCCCTGCCATGGCCAGGGGCAAGCAGGGACCCACAGATAAGCTGCCCCGTTGGTGGGGGCAATCCCCATGCTGTCCCCATCCCACCTCACTGAAGACTGAGCCACGGACAGGGCTTATCAGTGTCCCCAGTGTCTCGCCTGCCTCTGGTATCACTGCCACCAGCACTGTAATCTGCCCATTCCTACCCGTGTCCCCGGGCGGTGGAGCAGCCCCATGGGGTGCCTGAGCCACAGCACCGACCCCACACCTCCCGGCTTGGTTTGTCTCCTCTGCTCAGCTTTGCTGGGCAGGAGCCTGCAGCCCAGCTGCCAGGAACCACAGCTGGGAGCCTGGAGCCATGCGCAGCCCCAGGAGGGAGCCAGGTTTGTGGGCTACCACCAGGGCGACTGTGGTGTCAGTGTTGCTGGGAGTCCTGGCTGCCCACCTGCAAATGTGGCTGGTTCTGTGGGTACCCCTGTGCTGGGGAGAGGTGGTTTTGCTGATGGCATTTGTCTGTCCCAGCTAAGATGTCGATCCTAAATAAGTGTCTGTCCCAGCTGAGATGTTCATCCCAGCTAAGATGTCTGACACAGCTAAGATGTCCTTCTCCACTAAGATGTCAGTCCAACCTATGGTGCCCATCTCAGCTAAGATGTCCAGCCCAGGTAAGATGTCAGTCCCAGCTATGGTGTTCACCTATGGTTCCCATCCCAGCTGGATGTCCTTCCTAGCTAAGATGTCCATCCCAGCTAAGATGCCCTTCTCCACTAAGATGTTGGTCCCAGCTATGGTGTCCATCCCACCTACGGTGCCCATGCCAGCTAAAATGTTCGGAAAAGGTTCTTCACTGAGCAGGTGGTCAGTCCCTGGAACAGACTCCCCAGGGAAGTGGTCACAGCACCAAGCCTGTCAGCATTCAAGGAGCATCTGGACAACACTCTTAGTCACATGGTTTAGTTTTAGGTAGTCCTGCGAGGAGCGGGGAGTTGGACTCGATGATCCTTACGGGTCCCTTCTAACTTGAGGTGTTCTGTGACTCTATGATTCTATGTCCACCCCAGCTAAGATGTCCATTCTAGCTATGGTGTCTGTCCCAGCTGTCTGTCCCGGTATGGTGACCACCCCAGGGAAGGGTCCATCCCAGCTATAGTGTTCACCCCTGGGAGTGTCCCTGCAGCAGCTGTCCCCAGGAGGGGACGGCAGGTCTCGGGCACAGGCTCGGGGTACCCATTGCCAAGAGCACCATCTCAAGCTGATCTTTAGCCTGGGGGAACTGGCAGCTGAGACCATCTGCCACATTGGGGTCCACCACGGGACCATCTTGGGATCCTCCTCCTTGCAGCTTCCCAGAGTGGAGATCCCCCTTGCTGGGGGTCCTCCTTGCTTGTGAGCGTCCCCCCCCTCTCCCCAGCCTCTCCCACTGCTTGTGGCCACCCTTGTCCTGGTCCTGCCCCCTCCCTTCCTCAGGGACCCCCCCTTGCTGTGGTCTCAGCACCCCTAGTGCCTCCCTCTTCGCAATGTGGCTGAGGACCCCCGTGGCTCAGGGCCCCCCTCACCACGGTCCTGGACACCCCCTCCATTGCTCACAGGCTTCCTCACCCTGGTCCTGCACCCCCAGACCCCCTCCCCTTGCTCAGAGCCCCCCCATCACTCAGGA